CCCTTGATGCACCCCCACCTCGTTTTTTTTTTTTTTTAATTTTTTTTTTTAATTTACGGATCCATGAAAAGCAGAACTGTGACAACCAGGCTCTAACGAGGGAGAGGACACAGATTGGGAAAGAAACCCACCCCCAGGAGAGCGCTGGTTCTTGTCCTCCCACTGGTGAAAGCTGCCTCCTTGGAAAGTTCAGGGAGCAGGTCCTCGAAAAATAGTGAATTCAGGTCATCGGTGGCCTGGAGGCACCCTGCCCACCTTCGTCAGGGCGATTTTAGACATAGTCGGCCTCCCACCTTCTGCCAGGGGCTACTGAGTTTCATGTTGAGATCTCCCCCCTTCAGGGAAACGGGGGCCAGAGGAGGACCGATAGCTGCTGTCAGCGGCTGGCTTCTCTCACAGCCTCAGCCAGGTGCTTGGCTGGCCTCCTGTGATCCACCTCACAGGTTGCCTCAGCAGGTGTCTGATGGCGCAGGTATAAATCGTAACAGGACGGCTCCCTCTGACCGAGACCGCAATGGAGCATCGCTGATGAGGCAGCAGGTCTCATTAGTCATTCTTGAAAAGGGGTCAGGGGCAGGGCCAAAGAGCTGGTTAATCGAAGGGTAGCTAATTCATTTATAATTATTCATATTCTTTTTCTTCGTCTCCTAAAGCCTAGTCCTTTGGAGCTGGACTGGGGCTTAGAAATATCTAAAGAGGCAGAGGAGCAGATGAGTCAAGAGCAAGGTTTGAGCCTTGACTCTGTTTATTAGCAGTGTCAAACCCCCTCACCTCTGGACCTCAGCTCTCCTATCTGTGAAATGGGTTTTTGTGAGGAGTAAACAAGGTGCTATTTCTAAAACCTGGAGCATAATGTTTAACCCATGGTCAACATTCAGCCAGCTAGCTGCTGTTACCCAATCCCACTCTCTTTTATAGGCTCATCTGTGTATTCAGCAAGTATCTATTACCTGGTGTTGGCACTGTGTGGTACAGCTCCGTCGAAAGTGGTGAACGAAAGTATTCAAACGAGTGTATGGTCATTATTCAAACAGCACAGCACAAAGTCACGTCCTTTCCTAGGAAGTAAAAGAAGGAGAAGCAGAAGGAGGGCTAGAGAGACAGAGGGTGGGAGTCCGAGTTTCTGGGTCCACAGTCCAGTGTCTGAGTAAGTGGGGGCATGGGCCCTGCAACCTTGGGAGGGGGACCAGCAGGGTGCACGCAGGTCCCGAGTTGGGACTATGTATGACGGCTCCTGGAGGAGCAAGGAGGCCCGCGTAGCCAGGCAGGGACCCCAGGTAGCTGTGCCCTAGAGAGGTGTCCAGAGCTGCATGATGCTGTGATAGGGGCTTTTAGGCATTGTTAAGCTGCGGTGACGTTGTGAATGGAAGTTTACGGGGAAACAGCTTTCAGATGTCCAAGCCTATAAGCAGCCTATCAGCAGCCCCGAAAGGGTGGCCAGAGCAAGGCCGGCTGGTCCTCTCGTGTGAGCATCCATTGCTGGGTCTTGCCTCTAACCATCATTACTGTGTTGTTTGCTAAATGATGACTATTTCCCACATCCCCTCTGTATTTAACCATTGGAATTCTTCTATAAGGAAAAACTTCCCTTCTTCCCCGTTTACTTATTTATCCAACGATTTATGATGCTGGATGGACTCACAGATCTTTATTGTATTCTCTGGGGTATAGTCCAAAACTATCATTATTTTGTCACTCAAGTGTCAGACCTTTGGCCATTGGAGTCAACCTTCAGGTTGACTCTTGTGTCCTCCCATGCCTCCATCATATTTTGAGCACTTCTTTACTCTCTGGCAACACAAGACACTCCAGGTTCATCTTGAATTTCCCCCTGGAATTAACCACTTCTCCAAGGAGCCCTGGTTCCCTTTATCAGACAATGGTATTTAGAAACCAAGATCTGGTGCTGGGTGTGCTCATTTGCTACTGGAGTGTATTGCTTCTCATATTTTTTAGCAGATGGAACTAGAAAATACATGTATGTATGTATGCTGACCCATGCACACACCAGGTCAGTATTTCTCTCTCTTGGGGTGCCTGGGTGACTCAGTCGGTTAAGTGTCTGCCTTCAGCTCAGGTCATGATCCCTGGGGTCCTGGGAGTGAGCCCCACCTGAATCAGACGCCCTGCTCAGCGTGGAGTCTGCCTCTCCCTCTCCTCACTGCTTGTGCTCTCTCACGAGCTATTTTCTCTCTCTCTCAAAAATTAAGTCTTTTAAAAAATTCTATAAATATTTGTCTCTTTCTCTCTCTTATCTATCTGTATGTCTCTCTGCCTGTCTATCTATCTATCTTTACAAATCTTGACTTCATACTGATGCCTTTACTTCTAGTCCAAAGCCTCAGGGATCATTTAGCCTCTCCACTTTCCTTATTTCTAACTACTTCTTCTGAGAGTGAGAAACCTCACGGTTATTATTTGCAGTATATTTACTTATTTGTTCAGTCCTAGTACACACAAAGGTAGTTTCAGAACTGCTAATCCATAACCCTGTGACAAATAAAAGTAGAGTGCCCTATTTGTGTATGATTCTCTTTTTCCTTAGCCTTATGGAATCCAGGCAAAATAACAGTTTCCCGAGTTACTTAGGCTGGTTCTGTTCTTCCCCACAGCCTTCAGTGTGGTGGGCTTACTCATCTATAATCCAGTCACGTTCACTTTTGCTGTTTCTGTCTTATTTTGAGTGCACACATACATCGTGTGGATGATTGTAGTTGTTTACTGTTTGGGTATGTGAAATATTGGGGTTCTAAGAGTCAGAGCTATATAGATTCATCCCGGCAGCCTCGTTCCAATCTCGTTCCTCCATTCTTTCCACCCCCTGTATATAACCAGGCTCTTTAGTTTCTGGTTTGTCCTTCCTGTGTTTCTTCTGCACAGATGAACCAATCCGTGTAGATTTTCTTACATCCCTCTCTTTTGCTCATATAGATGGTTAAAATATTATAGATACTCTTTTGCACTTTGCTTTTCCCCCCCCCCCAGTTAACAGTATGTCCTGGCGATCATTTCGTATCACTTCATAGAGATCTTCCATAATGAGCTTTTTTAACTTTGGCGATCAGGAAAAAAAATTAGCAGCCCAAGAAGTAATTTTTAAAATTCTATAACTGATGATGACGATGATAAATAGTATAAGTATTACCATGAATTGAGCATTTGCTGTATACCGTGGTCTGTGCTAAGAAGCATTTTGTATAGATTATCTCATCGAGTCCTTCCTAGAGCCCTGGGAGATAGATGTTACCTCCAATTTATTGATGAGGAAACTGAGACTCACTAATATTTAGAAACTTGCCCAAGTTCATAAAAAGTAGAGCTACAATTTGAACCCAGACACTGTCTCCCAAGTTTGTGCTTTTGAAGAGCACACCAGCACCATTACAGAAGTTCCAGGTTGAAAGAAAGTGTTGGGAGTCTTTAAAACCTAGGCACGTCCCAGGCTTTAAAACCCTGTTGATTTTGGATCACGCTTGCCAAAGTTGGCATGTTCCTGATAACAGGAACATGAAGGTAATTTACTACCTGTTTGTTCCCAAGAAACGGCCCTTCCTTCTTGAGGACCAGGGGTCCTGTCTCTAAGGCAGGAGATGAGAGGGATGCTAGTCGGGGCCCGCTACCTGGGATGCAGCAATAGATCTGATCTTACACCTCGTAATCACAAGCTAGAGCAGCCAGCGCCATTCCCGGGAAAGCCCATTACCTCGCAGGGCTGTTTGGTTAGCAGGACACTCAATCAAGCCCGAGTTACAGCAGCTTCTGTTAAAACTGTTTGTACAGCAGGAGTGGAAGAAGAATTTCTCTGAGCCAGAGTCTGGCTTCTGTTGTGAGAAGTGACAGACTGGCAGAGAGGCTTGGCTTCTGGAATCTAGCACCAAGGGCCTCACCCCAGTGTCCCATTTTCTAACTGTGTGGCTTTGGGTGAGTCACTTTACCCCTCAAAGCATACCTCTGACATTGGGATAAGAACCACACCCATCCTTGTCAGCGGTCCCCAAGACTGCCCCCAGGCTCAGTGATTTGCTGGGAGGATTCCATGAGCTCTGCATATAGTCATATGACTTATGATAGCGGAAGGACACAAAGCAAAATCAGCAAAGGGAAAAGACAAATGGAGTGAAGGCCAGAGGAAACCAGGATCAAACTTCAAGAGTCCTCTCCCAGTGAAGCGGTACAGGATGCACTTAATTCCCCAGCAGCAAGTTGTGACAGTGTGTGAGAAATATTTTCTCCTGGGGAAGCTCGTTACAGACTCAGTGCCCGGGGTTCTTACTGGGGGCTGGTTACGCAGGCGCTGTCTGCCCAGCATCTACCACAATCCCAAACTCCCAGAAGAAAAGCAGGTGTTCAGCATAAACTGCACTGTTCGCATAAACAGTTTAGGCACAGGGAGCCATTCTTAGGAGAGAATGGTGCGAACCTTCCCAAAATCCAAGTTTCCAGAAGTCAGCCACGCGAGGGCCAACCTTGCAAGCAAGCAAGCCTCTTTGCAGGGTAGCCGTCTCAGGCCAGTGGTGTTAATTATTTTCTGCACACCTTGCCACTGGGTGGTTGCTGGGTGGATTGAATGACAGCATCCACGGAAAGCTCTGGCCACGCTACCTAGAATGGGAAACACTTACTAAATGCAGACAATTAATTTGACAGTCAGAGAATGAATTGTGAATGGTTCCTTAGCACCTTCAGAGTAGGTTGCATCCATCACCCGTCTGCTCACCCGTTTGTTCCTTCATGCAGCACATTCTGGCTGAGCCCTGCTTTGTGCAGGGGCCGTGTAAACACAGCAGGATTAGCCACCGCCTTCCTCGAGGATGCTGCGTGCAGGCTCCCAGTTTGGCTGGGCATTGACAGTGGGTGGTGGGTGGTAAGAGATCTTTGGGGACTTCAAGGGAAATGTGAAGGGACCCCTTTGCATGCTCAGTTGGTGGGATGGGTATGCCAGGGGTCAGAAAATGTAAGCTCCTTGTGACCTTCTCTTTGTCCTGTTTTGCCTCCTATAGCCAAGGCTAAGTCCAAATGCGGCCCGACGTTCTTCCCTTGCGCCAGTGGCATCCACTGCATCATTGGCCGCTTCCAGTGCAATGGGTTTGAGGACTGTCCTGACGGCAGCGACGAAGAGAACTGCAGTAAGTACCAGGAGCACCCGGCCGCCCTCCCTTGTTCATTCCTCTGGGCCTGGTGCCTCGGGCGCCGCCCCCCTCTCCTCCCTGTGCTCCTCACTCCCATGGGCTCAGGTGTCTTCTCTCCTTACCCGCATCCTGCTCTTCACTTCTTCCTTGTGCAAACATGTAAGCGCTCAGCTCCCATTTTGCGGGGACTCTACGAAGTGCTCTGGGCCTGGGCCATACTTTGTTTTCTG